AGAGAGAGAGAGAGAGAGAGAGAGAGAGAGAGAGAGAGAGAGAACAAGCACAGAGTACTTATTAGTCACTGTGCCAAGTGCTGGGAGTCCAAAACTATGAACAATCTCTTCTTTCAGACTGCTCAAATTCTAATAAGGGAAGAGATTACATCAAGAGGGACTTGAAAATGGTGGTTGGAGAATAAAGGGTAGATAGCAGAAACAAGGTGGCTGATAAGGAGGAGGGGGTAGATGTTGAGAAGTGAATTAAGTGAAGCATGGTTGGGGCACCTGTGGCCTGGGCATGCATTCATGGATTATGAGAGCAGGGTCTCAGGACGGTGGTTTCTCCGGAGTGAGAAAAGATGACAGATTAGTGCTAAAAGGGATCTTAGGGGTCATCTTTTCTACCTCCCTCCTATTATGGATGAGGAGACTCAGGTCCAGAGAATTCAATTAGTGGCTGTTATATGTCTGGCCCTGTGCTGGATGCTATAGGGCATACAAAAGGACCAAACATAGCCACCACTTCAACCAATGAACTTCTGGCTAGTTTGGAAAACAAGTCTAGTGCACATGAAGCACTGATGAGGAACCCAACACCATTTATGGTGCAGTTCTACATTGTGTAGTGTGAAATACATTGTGGGACTTAAGAGAAAGGAGAGGTCAGTGAAGACTAGAAGAGTCATGGGAGGCTTCTTGGAAGAGGTGAAACTTATACTGGGCCTTGAAGGATGGGTAGGAGATAAATAATTGGAGGTGGGAAAGGAGGGCACTCCAAGGGAGGCGAAAAACATGAGTAAAGGTGTGATGGTGGGAGTGAGTTTTATTCAGAGACTAATCTGGCTCAGTTATATATTGGGTTTGAGGGAACTCATAGAAGAGAAAGTAAGACTGAATGGAGATCATGAGAGTAGATTCTCACAAGCAGAGGATACTATTTTTGATTCCATAGGAAATGGAGCCAATGTGGAGCAGATAACAATAATAACAACAAATGTACTCTGACATCTGACATCTGACCATGACAATTGTACTCTGAGGCTTGTAAAGCCCTTTACATGCACGATCTCATTGGATCCTTACGTCAACTTTGGTCAGGAGTTGCTATCATTATCCCCGTTTCACAGATTAGGAAATCAAGGCTCAGAAAAATTGAGCAACTTGCTCAGACCCTCAGAACTAGTAAATATTAGACTGATATTTGACCCCGTTGTTCATTTATTTCCATTGTGTCCAACTCCTCATGACCTCATTAGAGATTTTCTTTTTCTTTTTTTTCTTTTATTTATTTATTTATTTATTTATTTTTAACATGTGTTTTTAAAACTTTGGGTTACAAATTTTCTCCCTTCTTCCCTCCCCACCCACCCTCATTGAAAAGGCAAGCATCTCGATACAGGTTATAGATTGTAGTCATGCAAAACACTTCCATAGTAGACCTGTTGTGAAAAACTAAGTATATTTCCCTTCATCCTATCCTACCCCCCATTTATTCTAGTCTCTCTTTTGACCCTGTCCCTTCTCAGAAGTGTTTGCTTTTGATTATCCCCTCCCTCAATCTGCCCTCCCCTCTATCAACCCCCTGCTCTCTTGTCCCCTTCCCCCCTTGTTTTCCTGTAGGGTAAGATAGATTTCCATACCCCATTGTGTATGTTATTCCCTCTTAAGCCAAATCCTATGAGAATAAGATTCACTTATTCCCTCTCACCTTCCCCCATTTCCCCTCCACTGTAAAAGCCTTTTCTTGTCTGTTTCATACGAGATATTTTTCCTCATTCTACTTCTCCCTTTCTCCTTCTAGTATAATCTTCTCCCACCTCTTAATTTTATTTTCCAGATATCACCTCTTCATCTTCAACTCACCCTGGGTCCTCTATCTATCTATACAAACATATAATTTTTCCCTCCCGCTACCCTAATACCGACAAAGGACTAATGAGTTACAAATATCATCTTTCCATGCAGGAATATAAACAGTTCAACCTTAATAAGTCGCTTATGATTTCTCTTTCCTGTTTACCTCTTCCACGTTTCACTTGAGTCTTGTATTTGAAGGTCAAATTTTCTATTCAGCTGTGGTCTTTTCCATAGGAATGCTTGAAAGTCCTCTATTTCATTGAATGACCATTTTTTACCCTGAAGGATTATACTCAGTTTTACTAGGTAGGTGATTCTAGGTTACAATCCCAATTCCTTTGCCCTCCAGAATATCATACTCCATGCCTTCCGGACCCTTAACATAGAAGCTGCTAAATCTTGTGTTATCCTGATTGTGTTTCCACAATACTTGAATTGTTTCCTTCTGGCTGCTTGCAATATCTTCTCCTTGACCTGGGGATTCTGGAATTTGGCTACAACATTCCTAGGAGTTTTCCTTTGGGGATTCTTTCAGGAGGTGATCAGTGGATTCTTTCAATTTCTATTTTGCCTTTTGGTTCTAAAATATCAGGGCAGTTTTCCTTGATAATTTCTTGAAAGATGATGTCTAGGCTCCTTTTTTGATCATGGCTTTCAGATAGTCCAATAATTTTTAAGTTCTCTGTCCTGGATCTATTTTCTAGGTCAGTTGTTTTTCCAATGAGATATTTCACATTCTCTTTTATTTTTTCATTCCTTTTGATTAGTGTTACAGTGCCTTTATTTCTCAAATTGTCCCTATCTTCAAATTTCTCCATTCTAATTTTTAAGGAAGTATTTTCTTCAATAAGCTTTTGGACTTCCTTTTCCATTTGGCTAATTTTGCTTTTAAGGGCATTTTTCTCCTCATTGGCTTTTTGGACCTCTTTTGCCATTTGGGTCTGGCTATTTTTTAAGGTGTTATTTTCTTCAGTATTTTTTTGGGTCTCCTTTAGCATCACTCTCAGTTTTTCTCTACTTCTCTTACTTGCTTCTCAAAATCCTTTTTGAGCTCTTCCATGGCCTGGGACCAATTCATATTTTTCTTGGAAGCTTTTGATGTAGAAGCTTTGGCTTCATTGTCTTCTTCTGGTTGTATGTTTTGATCTTCTTTGTCATCAAAGTAAGATAATATAGTCTGACTCTTTTTGTGCTTGCTCATGATCCCAGCCAACTACTTGAGTTATAAACTCTTTGTTAAGGTAGGAGTCTGTTTCCAGTGTGGAGAATGTACTGTCCCAAACTTCAGGGGTTTTGTGC